TGCAAAGTATTCACGGCTCTCAACTAATTAATTACTCGGTTGGCCTGCTCGTCTAGCCAGCGGGTGGCGTGAATTAAGGCTAAAACAATGCGCACGGAAACGTTGCGGGCATTGTAGCCAGCAACATTAGAAACGTTTGAGAGCCTAGCCAATGCAGGTAATATCACACAAAGCACAACAATACCTACCCAATTGCTCTGCACTATTCTGCGAAGCAGCAATCGAGACACACGAAAGGTTCTCATCGAATCGACTCCCTTCACTTTCCGTCGTTGTATCCATCTTAATCTCGCTCTCGTTCCTAACCAAACTGATTTACGAATTCATTTTTCTATTATTATTACAATAAATATCAAACTCTTTACCAGTTATCAAAATACGTCGATTTCAGCGATAGAAGCGCGTTCAGAATCTCTGGAATCGATGCGTTCACCTTACCGACCGGATAGTTTCGCATTCTGCATACAACATTATCAGACAATATAACAATTAACAATAATAATAATCAAACCTGTTCAACTGCGCCCTAATGCTGTTTAATTTCTGTTTCAACGCGGCCCTATACTTCTTTCTTTGCAGAACCACGGCCCGATTGCGATGCATATAACGGTCCATATAAAAATCCATTGGAAAATGAAACTTATTATGTAACTTCTCGGTCTGACCATTCTTATAACTGAATCGCACCATTGAGAAGATGATCACATTCGGGATGGAATCGAACCAAACCTCAACAATAAAAACAATTAACTTCTAAACAACAAACAATTAAATATCAACCTCCTTGCTGGGTGCATCAGCGAAATGATACGCCTCCAGTGAATCATGCAAATTATCGAATGACACATCCAAATTAACCATTTGCAGTGAATTATCCAATTTCGATGATGTTATTGAACCATCTGATATATTAACACAATACAGAACATTTAACACCGAACTTCTCTAACATTTAAACTTTAAATTTAAAGAGTTCAACTTTTGAAAGATTAAAAAAAAAACTCAAAAATTTAATCCGCAAACAAAAAATGAAACCTGCGGAAAGACGAATCTCAATGTGTGAGCCGTGAAATAATGAACTGAACGGGAGAGTTTGTCCATTATCGTTATTATTATTATTATTGTTACTAATGCTCTCAGTCGGACTCGCTACCAGATTGTTATTAAGACAGTCACGCTGTTTATCAGTAGTCGGATCAGTCGGGTCGCAGTTTTCATCCTGAAATGATGCAAACAATAAAACAACGCTAATCACCAGCAAGACAAGCATTAACCAAGGGCATCGCTTCGTCCTGTCCTTCCACCTCCATTGGCAGTGTAGGTGATCTCATATCTGCGCAGAACGTCTCGTAGATCCTCAACGCCTGTTCAAGCCATTCAATGATCCTTAATAACATTTCTGTTGCATCCTGAAATATCAATACTAACATCTCATTAGCACTATATTCAATATACTCTTTTCAGTGCCAACAGATCTACCTGCTGAATGCCCATACTAGGCACTGCCTTGTTCAAAGTGGCGTTTAATTCACTTATTGTTGAAAGCACATCCGACGGATCCACATAACCCCGTTCCGATGCCAACAAAAGAGCGTAGAGTCGTCTGAATGTGATCAACAGAGTTTGAGGTGTTATGCTAGGCTGCAATTGTTTTATTTATTACATATACAATTGTGATAATCAAGAAAACAAACCTGAGTAGAAGAGGACGGTTCATTGGCCGAAGGATTCGATCCTCTCGTTGAAAGAAAATCAGTTTTCACTTCAAATATTTTACTACGGAATTTCGGAATATGATAAAGAGTCTGCAATAAACAAATAATGATAATAATAAAACAATGATAATAAGTAAATAAAAAAGAAATTAATACCTGTGATACAACATTAAACCAACAACTATTGCCCATGTTTTTGAGTCCCACTGGAGCCAGTTCATAGCGACGGCGCTCGTGAGGATTCTCAGGATCACTTTGAGCTATCGGCGAGAATCCGGGAATATTCTGATTTTCTTTTAG